TTTTATTACCAGCAGACGAAGTGTATCTGCTGCTGTAGCGTGTTGTGTGTGTGTATGTTGTTTGTGGTGCCTACCTCTACTTTCAGCGCAGCGAGCTGACTCGCTTCGTCTTGAATTTCGAAATATCCTCGATGAAATTCCGGCAGATCACCGAGCCGTTGGCGGCGAGGAAGGACTAAAGCGAGGGGACTGTTGGGGCTCTTCTCTACGGCAACACCTGCAGCAGCAGCAGCAGCAGCAGCAGCAGCAGGAGCAGCAGAAATAGCAGCAGTATTAGAAGCAGTAGCCGTAGAAATACAGCTGAAGTGTTCTTTTTTTTAAAGGATAGAAGTGTTCCTGCTGCTTTCAGTTTGTTGCTTGTGCTTGCCTTTGTTTAACAAAGAATGATAGAGTCGATCGCGGGTTATCGTCAGGGTGTTGGTGCGGAGATACACCGGCGCCTCTTCGTTCAAAACGTTGCAAATTTTAACAGCCCTCGTCGTCCCATGAGAAGCCTCAATACGATCAAACAACTCTTGCGGAAAAGATGTACGTACAGTGGCAGGTAGCCTTTCGTTCTGTGTGAGGAGCTTCCACCTGCAATCAACAAACACACTCCATTCGACTGCTGCTGCAGATGCTGCTGCAGTTTATGCTGCAGCTGATGCTGCTGCTGTGATCGTTGCTGATGCGGCTGCGCCTGCTCTGTCGGGGCGGGCCGCAGGGCTAGTTGTAGCAGCAGTAGCATCACAAGACTACACGGGGTCACCAACAAAAACAGCACATGCAGTTGCAACAGCAGCAGATTTCTAGGGATCATCGATTAGGAAATTAAAAATGCTTTGCATGCAGATGCAGAAATTTCTGCCGGTTCGTTGCCTCACAGCTGCTGTAGCTGTTTCGGCGGGTGCAGCTGCTACAACTGGTACAGCTGGTGGAGCTGCTGCAGGTGCTGCAGTGGCTGTAGCTGCTACAAAGGAATCAATAAGAGAAGCGATGTGGTGTTTGTATGTACCTGTCAGAGACGAAGTAGGTGCGTATTCGGCTAGACCAGGAGGCAGGGGGTGGAGTGATGTGATCAAGAAGACCTTTCCATTTGACGANGTGCGTATTCGGCTAGACCAGGAGGCAGGGGGTGGAGTGATGTGATCAAGAAGACCTTTCCATTTGACGATTTGAAAAAGGTGCTCGGTGATGTATTTCTTGTCGTTGCTGCCGATGCTTCTGTTGCAGTTGTAATAATAACGAAGAAACAAATCAAGAGGGAGGTTACGTGATGCCTGAGGAGAGTAGTACAGCTGTAAAGCTTGTTCGATGTGCCTCACGCGAAACGCGTTCATCTTGGGATACTTCTGCAGTTTTTCGTTGTTATTCCAATGATTAAATGCTTCAACTTCAGAGCCGAAGCATACGTCCACATGTCCACAACAAATAGAATGCAGAAACACACAAAGTTTCAGTACAACAAGCGGTGAAGGTCTCGCGCACCGCTACACCTGATACGGTACAATCCAGCAAGGAATACGCAATTCTGAGCTCGATTCGTCAGAATTCATTCATAAAATATTGTTGTTTAAGAATTTTATGATCACAATTTGCAACAAGTTTAACTTTCTGGTGGACGTAACCATGAAGATCGAGGCTCGTCGGCGTTCTTGCACAAGCCAGCCAAAGCCACGCCAGTCCCAGCACGTATAGCTGAGCGCCGAAACCCGCATGCAAGATGAACCGGTTTCCTCCTCGAGGTGCAGTGAAAACGCTACAAAATAAGCTTTAAAAACTCTACACTGCAGCAAATATAGTTTGTTTCAGCTTCTCTGAAACAGGCTTTCGTGGCCTGTACACTTTTCTTCTCTCCCTGGCGGGGCGCGGCCAGTCGCTGCCGAAACCTGAACTCTTGCTGTCTTCTCCTCCTCAGCNCTTCTCTCCCTGGCGGGGCGCGGCCAGTCGCTGCCGAAACCTGAACTCTTGCTGTCTTCTCCTCCTCAGCAACAAATTGCAATTCTGTGTTTTCTCCAAGAGAATAACAGAGATTTGCGTTTGTTTTTACACTGAAGACGATAAAAACTTTCTTCCTCTAGCTCTCTGACCACAGGCCCACCGACGGACTGTCTAGCCCCGCTACCTGGAGGGGGTTCGGGTTTGCGTCAGTGCTGTTCTTTCTCGTTTTTGTTTTTCTTTGTTTTCCATATTCTTTCTTTTTAGATTGCGCATCTGTTGTGAAGGCATAACAACGGAGTAACTCCTCTCTGGTCGTCTGCGAGGCGATAGAAAGGGGCCCCAGTGTGCAGCAAACCAGACGGACAGACACCCGCCAGTCCTGTGTTGCTGCTGCTGGTGCTGCTGTTTCTGCTGGCGCGGGTGCAGCTGCTGCCGCTGCAGCCCCTGCTGCTGCTGCTGGTGCTGCTGTAACCTCTGCTGCTGCTGCTGGTGCTGCAGCTGCGTTGGAACCCCCCCGGCTGCCTGGATGCGCCTTCTGCAGCAACAATGTCCCTCACAGAGGCCCCTGATGAGCGCCATGAAGCATCAGAATGTGCTCAGGAAGCAGCAGCAGCAGCAGCAGCAGCCTCAAGCATAGCCGAGGGAAGCAGCAGCTCATCCGGGGCCTCTGCGGATCCTGCTCCGTCCCCTTCACCTGGGGCTGTAGAAGCTGCAGCAGCTAAATCTACAGCAGGAGGATCAGCAGCAGCAGCAGAAGCAGCAGCAGCAGAAGCAGCAGCAGCAGAAGACACAGTACGTCTGATAAGCAGTGAAGGGAAAGCAATAGAGGTACCAATCCGCATAGCAGAGGAATGTGAGCTGCTGCAGCGTTTGCTTTCAAGCGGATTCACAGAAAGCAAATCAAGAGAGCTGCAGCTGCATAACATTCGTTATAATGTTTTAGCAAAGGCTGTTGAGTATCTACGCCATAGAAACCAGTGGAGGGAGGCTGCGGGGGGCCCCGAGGGGGCCCCCAGGGGGGCCCCCCTAGAGTTTGAAGT